GCTAATTAGGAAGACTGTATGCTATTGCTCTGTACTGAAGGGTTAGGTATCTGAGATGAAGGCCTGTGAGTAACCCCAAATCTAGCTACTTTCAGATAGTTTTAATATTATTGGTCAGTCTGTCACATAATTATAATCCTCTTCAAAATGTGATATGATATTCAGCAATTATATATACTCACATGTAGAACATCTGTAAAGACTTTGGGATAAACTCTCTATGAAGCCTCTACCTAATTTGTATTAAAACACCCCTACTTACTAGAGAAAAGCAGAAACAGAGATGGGTGGGCAGCACAAAGCCAGAGACTGAGGGAATCTTCACTGCTGCTCACTGGCTGAACTGAGACAATGAGCCCATTCAGGGTCTTTGCGTATGAAGTAACAACTTCAACTATCACTTGTGCTTGTGTCTGTGGTGAAACTAGGGTGGGGATGGGCTGTTTTTGAGAAATTTAGACTATCCTTTCTATATGCCAATTTCTACCATCTTAATGCATTGGTTATAGAATCAATCACAGGAAAACATGGGCAGAACAGTTTACATGGAGAATCCACCATGTATAGCATCATTATGTCTATACGTTTCTAGACACTTTACAGGAATGAGTCAAAAGGCTTTCAATGAATGGTTTTCCCTTCCATTTATTTGCTAGAAGAATCAATTGGAGGAAAGGGTAAGACAAGCCCCAGAAATAATAATAATTAGAATGGAAAACAAATTAAAATAGCTTTCCCATCTTAGCATGATTCAGACATCAGTGGGCAATGTACATGGTTGTAGGTGAAAGGCTATATCAACATTTTTGTCAAGTGGACTGTTCTCTATTGTGCAGGTAGGCCTGGGTTCTTTTTTGACATGTATCATGACCAAGAGATATGATAGGAATTTTTCAGAATTTCAGGTTGAGCAAAGCAAGAGATCTGATATAGAAACATCTAGTGCTGGAAATAATTAGAAATAGTTTCAATCTAACAAAGCTAAAATTTCCAAAAGTAAAGCACAATGAAGATGTAATGACTATTCTGACTTTGAGACCTCATAATTCTCTTACTGACATTTTGTCTAAGCTTATGCATTATTGTAAATCAGGTGGAAAAACAATGGAGAACTCAGTTCTTAATCTGAAGGCGCTGCATTAGCAACCACATTTTTTCCCCCAAATGTGGCATCCCATGACCATTCCATTTGGGAATGCCACATACACATTCACAAACAGATATACCTACATGGGTAATGCTTGCCCTTCCACTTTCTTTGAGATAGGATCTCATATTGTTTGCCTCAGAGGCTAGTTAGCCACAAATGGCTAGTTGCCAGGCTAGTTAGCCACAAATCTCCAGGGATTCTTTTGTTTCTCCCTCCCAGCTTGTTTTGACAGTCCCTGGATTCCAGAGAAGTGCTACCAGACCAAACTTTATATTAGCGTTAGGGATCTGGACTCAGGTCCTTTGTAGGGAAGAAACTCAGGGCCTCTAGATCTAGGCAACTGTTCTGTGACTGATCAACATCCTGAGCCATCAGGCAGATTTAAAGGAAGGACTCTAAACAAAGTAAGTAAATATAAGTACTCAACAGGCTTTGATTATTATATATGTGAAACATGAAATTTAATCAGACATTTTGTGTTTTTTCACAAAACTAAACCCCACATTTATTTTGCTTTGCAAAGCTACATACACTGCCTTAAACATCAACTGACTATGGGACCATTAATTATCTAAGGTTTGTTATTGTTGCATTAAGACATTGGTCATCAACTTTACTAAGTTCCTTTGGGAGTGTTGAAAGACCCTTTCACAGTGGTCACATATCAGATATTCTGTATGTCAGATACTTACATTATGATTCACAGCAGTAGCACAATTGTAGTTATGAAGTAGCAAAAAAAAAATAAGTTTATGGCTAAGGGTCACCACAACATTGGGAGCAAGCAGTGTATTAAAGGTTAACAGCATTAGAAAGATTGAGAGGCACTGCATTAAAGTCTTAAAAAGAAGAAAACTCTAGAAGCTATTACTATGGTTTATTCCAGAAAACAAAATGAAACAAAACAAATAAATAAAACAAAACACCTTTCTTTTTTACTTTTTAAATCTACTATGAAGTCATTTTCTCTCTTTCTCTCTTTCATTTTCTGAGTATTTAGGCTGTACAATGAGAATTGAGTTTCTGGGAGATAGCCACAAGACTCTACAGAATTCTCACATTTTAAAGATTCAGTTATGGTCTTATAACACACTTGCAAAGAAAAAATATTCAGGAAATATTTAAGGTATTCCAGGAGAAAAAGCAATAATCTCAGGTTACCTACATGAGCACGCACGGTTCACTGACAAACCATCAATCTACACTTCTGTACAGCAGGGATTCATGGCACATTTGATGTTTGGGAGTATTTACAATCTCCAGGTTTATTACATGATCAGATGATGCTTTTAATTATAATTTGGATTAAGAAAATTATACATATAGTATCTGAATTACCAATACTGTTGAGTAAGGTCAGTGAATTAAGTGATACACAAAACAGGAATACCAAATAGCCTGAGGAGACTTGTGTTTATCTTTGGAGATTCCAGCTGTTTTATGAAAAGGTTTAAGAGCAGGGTGGGTGGTGGGACCAGATGATTCCTGTCAAGCCTGCCTTGCTGTGAGAGTTAGGAGTGATAAGAATTAATTGGCTAGACCTTGAGGCTCTTTGCTTCCTTCTGGGTCAAAGGTAAACAGTAAAGCTTACTTCAAAGCAAAAATGCTAGAAAAACTAAATAATTACGTCAAGGCAACAGAACAGCTCCCATAAAACTGATTTCTGTCTGGTATCTAGGCAATGGTAACATTAAAGAAGATCTTATTTTCTTTTAATGTGAACCTTCAGCTTTTTGGTTTACAAAATCTGAAAGGAAAGAACAGTAACAATACAAAAATACCCTTTATTCTAAAAAAACCCAAAAAACCAAAAAACCAAAAAAAACAAAACCCTTAGTGGCATGTCTCTAATTTAATAGACTTTAATAGACACTGAGGAAATCAAATGATCCTGGGAAATGTTGTGTGGGTAAAGCACTTGGAACACAGCAGTCAGGCCAGGAGTTCAGATCCTGGCCACCCCAAACTGCCAAACAGGTTTGGTTGCCAGCCTGTGATCCCTACACCTAGCAGTGGAACCTCGGGACTCCAAGTAATCAGATTAACTAAGTCTGGAAGCTTAGATCCCAGGAATAGACTGTGCCTCAATATGTAAGGAGAAGAATTACTAAGAAGCCCAACTTCAAGTTTCGGCCACCATGTTCCCGTGTACCCATGTATATATGAATACGTATGCACACACACATGAATCAACAATGATTAAAATGACATTGAATAGTTATAGTTAAATGTCTCTCCAAATCTTTGTAAGTAGTAAAAATTGCTCTAAATAATTAATATTTTCACCAGAAAAATCTTTTATTTTTCCCCTAAAATTTTGTATATTTCTTCATATTAAAAAGTCCTGTAAATCAAAACCTCCTCCTCCTCCTCTTCTTCCTCCTCCTCTCCCTCCCCCTCCCCCTTCTCCTCCTGGTTTGTTTCTGCACTGTCTAGTACCCTCATAACCAGCACCTCATGTTGCTAAACCAGTCTCTTTCAGGAAGCTTTTCCTATTTAACAGACTTCATCATTTTCCCACGTCTGTTCTGCTAATAGTGATTTCCGTCAGGCTTTTCAGAATTTTACTATGGTTTCTTCTTCATATTTAACATCTGCAGTTTGTGTTTACACATGTGTCCCTTTTTAGACTCTGAGTTCCTATAAGAACACAGCATGAATTTCACATCATTTACTACTGTATCCCCAGAACTCAACTAATGTTTCCCGTTATGCAATCAGTCAACATATAAGGAAATAGAGCATGGCCACATTGAGATAATTAGAACATGAAGTGATACACAGTCTTTCATCTGAGAGAAACACAAAAAGAAACAGAAATAAAAGAGTGTTCTTTAGGCTGATGCAAGAGCCTTTTCAGGATGGGGCACAGCTGAAAGTTCCTAAATATGGATAAGGTCCGGGTCCAGAACTGTGATTGCTGTTTGATTCATATGTAGATACTTGTGCAGGAGGACCAAGGGACCTATGAACCCTTTATAGCACAGAACACTTTTAGAAGTCTAGAGAAAGACATAGTTAGTTTCTGAGTTTTCATGGAGTTTACGATAGAATCAGCAAAGAACTGCTTTTCTCAGAGGTTTCTTTCTGGTGTTGGTAATGGCCTATTTTTACCCAGTCTCCACAGGTTGTTTTAGATACTGTTTTTCCACTTAAACTTTGTCTTCAACATGGCCCACATCAAATAGTGTCCATTCAAGTGGGAACACCTCTCTTCCTCACTATTCAGTCCTGTGCTTTCAGGCTCCATCAATATCTCCCTTTCAGCTTCCTGAGATGCTCTGTGCTGCCCATATCCTTCCTATGCTGCAGACCCCTCTGCACGTCAGTTAATGAAAACAACAGCAATCACCTATGTCTCAAGTCTTTCTGATTCCTTTCAATCTTCTTGCTACCCCAACTTCCTGTTCTTCTTCCTCTTTCTCCCTGTTTTTCATTTTTGTCTGAAATGGCTAACCTCTTCTCACCCAGAAAAATGTCACCCTTCTATATTCTGTCACTTCTTTAGTAGCCACAGCCTCTGTGCTATTTATTGGCCATTCTGAACAATTACCCCTACCCAAATTGATTTACCTGTCTATTTTCAATGGCAGGGACTTATGTGACCTGCTAAGGATGCAGCATGACCCTTGAAATGTCCAAGAAACACCCTCACTTTACAGAGATATGAAAAAGTATATAGAACACAGGCCTACAGTGAACAGAGTGGATATTAACATGTTTAGAAGAAAAGTGAAATGTTCTGCATAGCCTGTACTAAGTAGGTTTTGAAGAGCCAGACTTGGAACCCACTGGCTTTGAGCAACTATTTCTATGGAAACACACATTCTAAGTTCCAAACAGCACATACACGTATGAACTTGCTACCTTAAGGCTCCATGGGGCATCAGCTAGCACTGGGGCTAGGAGGCAGTCCCTACTCTGGCCACTGGCTTGCCTTTCTGAGAGTTGAATGAGTTTCACACCAAGGTGGGAGGGGCAGGCCAAACATCCACCCAAACCAGCACCAGTCAGCCAGTGATCCACCAGATGTTTTCTGCCAACCTGGCCTCGCTGAGCATATACCATGCTGATCACTGTGTATTGTGTGCGTAGGGACCTCACAGAGGTCACTTTTTCCCTCCAGGTCAACCCTGACTTTGAGCTCGCCAATTTCAGAGTTCTCTGTGAGCTTGAGTCTGGTGTGCCTGCTGAGGAAGCCCAGATTGTCTACATGGAGCAGCTCCTTACAGACGAACACTGCTCCCTGGGCTCCTATGGACTCAAAGATGGTGATATGGTTATACTACTTCAGAAGGATAATGTGGGACCTCGGACTCCAGGAAGGACTCCAAACCATCCTCCAGCAGATTTCACTGGGTCTGGGTCGGCCGTGCCTGGAACATCAAGTTCCCGACACCCGCATCAACATCAACACCATCATCACCATCATCAACGTATACCATCAACACAGCAAGCCCACGGATTGGCCTCTGGAGAGAATATGGCCTTTGCTCAGGATCTCGACAGCCCTGCCCTGATTCGAAGCATGCTACTTTCCAATCCCCATGATCTGTCCCTGTTGAAGGAACGGAATCCTGCTTTGGCTGAAGCTCTGCTTAGTGGGAACCTCGAGACATTTTCTCAGGTCCTGATGGAGCAGCAGAGAGAAAGGACCTTGAGAGAGCAAGAGATGTTTCGTCTTTATTCTGCTGACCCATTCGATCGGGAAACGCAGGCTAGAATAGAAGAAGAAATCCGACAGCAGAATATTGAAGAAAATATGAACATAGCTATGGAAGAGGCTCCGGAGAGTTTTGGACAAGTCGCTATGCTCTATATTAACTGCAAAGTGAATGGGCATCCTTTAAAGGCTTTTGTTGACTCAGGTGCCCAGATGACTATCATGAGCCAAGCTTGTGCTGAGAGATGTAATATCATGAGACTGGTGGACCGACGATGGGCTGGGGTTGCTAAGGGAGTAGGCACACAGAGGATTATGGGCCGTGTTCATCTGGCTCAGATTCAGATTGAAGGTGATTTCTTACAATGCTCTTTCTCTATACTTGAAGAGCAGCCCATGGATATCCTTCTAGGGCTTGATATGCTCAGGAGGCACCAGTGTTCCATTGACCTAAAGAAAAATGTGCTGGTGATTGGTACTACTGGCTCACAAACTCACTTCCTTCCTGAAGGAGAGCTGCCCTTGTGTGCTAAGCTGTTGAGTGGGACTGTGCAAGAAGAATCTTCAGACAGGGAAGTAGCAGGTAATATCAAACATCCTGTCAAGAGTCCAGGACGCAAAAAGCATTGAAGGAGGTCATATATAAGCCACTGCCACAAGGAAGCAAGCCTTAGGTCCCAGGAAATTATAAGACATGAGCTCACTTGGCAAAGTCATCATTAAAAACAACTTAGCAACCAACCCTGGCCTTGTGACTGAGTACACAGATGGGTGACTATGTAAGACATCAGTGATTCATCAGAGTGTGTATGTGGGCCCAGTCTTTCACTCCCAGATCACCGAACGTCATCCAGGGGACAGTGTGGAGCTTCAAGTTGGCTTCCCAACAATCTAGGAGAAAGAAAACAAGTCTCCTCTATCAGATTATAGGGTGGTATGTCCAAACCAGGGGCTATTTATTTTGCATAAGTCCCTAGAAAAGAAGCCATTCTTTAAGACTAAAAAGACATGTAAACAAAATGTTTTCATATAAGCAATAGCAATGGTTTTGTATTATGTCCCCAACCCAATTGTGAATGTGTAGAATGTATGTGTGTATGTGAGTGTGTGTGTGTGTGTGTGTGTGTGTGTGTGTGCATGCCCCCTACCACCCTAAGGGCAGAGGTTGAGAAATTTGTGTATATTTTTAAAATATCTTTCCAACTTGGCTTTTGAGACAAGTTCTCTCATAGAACCTGGAACTGTCCCAGTGCTGCTATAGTATAGTTACCTACTGACTTAACCCATGAGTGCTAGAGATGAAACCTAGGTCCTTGTGTTCCTGCAACAGGCATTGTACTAATGAGCCATATCTTCAGCATCCCCTGTAATCCCTCTACATACCTTTTAGAGACAGGGTCTCAAGGTCTCAACCTGGCTTCAGACTTGAGATATGGCTAAAGATGCCCTTGTATTTCTGATTCTGCTGCTTCCACATATGAGTGCTGGGAGTACAAGCAGGGCCATCACACCATGTTTGGTGGTGCTGGACAGTAAATATAGGCCTTTATGCATGGCTAACAAACATAACACCAAATTACTAGCTCAAATTACTTTCATACTCAAAGATCTGTCTGTTTTCACACTTGCTTTCTTTAGAAAGGGTGTGTGCAGTACTGCAGAGTCTACTTCCTTCTTGAGCTGACTACTACTTATAAATGCCTGCTTGGGGCAACATGCTCACCAGTTTTACACTACATTTTCTCTATCCCTAGATTCCCCTAAGGTCCTGCTTATAAATCTACCTCTACACTTTGAAATCCCCAAAGCATATTCTCCTCCTTATTTTTAAAGGAAATACAATCTTATGACAAACAATGAGCTGGACTTTTTAATCTTAATTCTGGAAGTGTTTGGTTTGTATTGTGATGGGCTTGGGAGGTGAATGTGAGCCATAGTCCAGGACTCTGATAACCTATTTCAAGATTTCAATTAGGCCATCATGAAAATATGTGCTTAGGCCTTTCAGTTCTTGACTCATCTGAGAAAGCTTACTTTTAGACTGATTAGCTAGGAAGTAGAATCCCTTTGACTTAGTTCTAGCCTAAAAACACCTGAGAATAACACTTCACTTTCCAGAGGCCATCAGTAGCAGGGGAAAGTATGATTAAGAGGGATATTAGAGGGCTGTGGGGGATAGCTCTTTGGCTGGAGCACTCTTTGCTCTTCCAGATGACCCAGTTCAGTTCTCACAGCCTATGGAGGAGGGTGGTTCACAACTAACTGCAACTCCAGCTCCAGGAGATCCAGTGCTCTCATATGTACTCTGCAAATACTGACTCACACACACATACATTCACACAGAGATGCATGTTGATACAGATTACTTTTTAAATTTAAAATATTGATATTATATAAACCTATTGAAAGCCAAGAAGTGATGCCCTGAGCATACCTAACTGTCACTTAGACAAATCATCTACTTTAGGGCTCCACTTATCCTCATTGAACTGCTTTATAGGCAGGGCTGCTTTACAGTCAGAAACAAAGATTTGAAGTGTTCCTAAAAGTTATAAAAAAAATCTTACCTTATAATCACACTTCGCTTTCTTTAGCTTGATATTTGGTGATACTGATAAATTTTTTCTAGACACAAGCTTACCTCCAGTCTTCCCACACCCCCTTTCTAATATTTCTTTCATCTGTGTCAAGTATTATACAGCAGAACTTTTAAAAGATACATGGACAGATGTCTTTTTGATCTTTGTTCCTAATAAGTACTGAAGACAAACTACAATTACAAATAGAAGACAACTGAGTCGAAAGAACTGACTCAAAAGATGCTTCCCATCAAGTCCAGCTTCCTGAATTAGATTCTTGGGAGCTACATGGTAGGAGACACCTAATTTCTACAGCCTGTGATCTGAAATCCTCACCTGACTTCTGGTATGAACCATCCCTACCAGGGGGTTATTTTAAAATGTTAAAATAAAATAAGTGTCAAGGAAAAATAAATAATAAATAAGATGAAATTTATAAATAAGCAATATATCTATGGAAAACATGGATTCCCTTAGTGATTAAAAAATTGAATACCTATATCATAACATTTCCAGACTCAATCTTAAAGTTACTTTTGTCAAATACACTAGATTTACAATGTCACATCGGACCAATTCTAATATCAAATGACTTATCTAGTCTATAAAAGTCATTCCAAAAATCACAGAATCTTTAAGGTAAAAGGCAGCTTGCATTCCAACTGAGGCTACACTCACTCTGTCTTCTCAACATACATCCTTCCAGGGCAGCTATTGATCCAAAATATTTGTTTCATAGTTTTCAATAAATTGACCTCCATGTTTCTTCTGCCAAGAATACATTTAAGCTTTTCTGGCATGAGGCAATCTTTCTTATATATAAAATCAGTGATTTCCTAATTAGTATTCTTTACCAATTTTAACAGATTTTTTGAAGTATTCCTCACAAGGCAATTTGCCATGCTTCTAACATTTTTCATACTTTGGATATGTTCCAAGTTTTAAAAACACAATTTAAGTGAATGGGCAAATTAAAACAGTTTTGTTGAATTGATAGAAATGACCTAAGAGAAAGTCCATACAGTTAACTAATTAGCTGATAATTTTCTTGATTGACTTCTTTAAATGTTGTCTTAGAAATCTGAAAGTATTTGTAAACTTGGTCCTGGGATTTAAAATCTTTATATAATACTGCATAACATATGAAAATGCTTCAATTAATTAAATTTAAATATATACATTTAAGGAAAAATGTAAGATCTTTTGTTGTTTTCTTAGAATGGGCGCTACATGAGGTATTTTGCATAATATTCTGACCATTAATCCTCAGGCTAAAATACCAAAATAACTAGCAGAACTTTACTTTGTGAATAGAGAATTTCAAACCTAGAATTTTTCAAAGCATTCAAATATACACAGACCAGCATTTAAAACTATTTCATTTTCTGTGATTCATTTACACAATTGAATACTATTCAGCCATTAAAATAGAGCACATCATGAATTTTACAGGAAAATGGAATGAACTAGAAAAAATCACCCTCAGTGAGATAAACCAGAACCAAATTGATATACATAGTTTATACTTACTGATAAGTAGTTTTTAACCAAAGAGTACAGAATACTTAGGATACAACCCACAGACAGTATTATAACAAGCAAAAAGCCCCAAATGAGGATCCTTCAATCCCACTTAGAAGTTGGAAGAAAATAATCACAGGAGGCAGAGTGGGGAGAGAGGGATCTGGGTGTCGGGGAGAACAGGATCAGGTGTGGGATGAGGAATGGACAGGAGAGAAGCCCAGAGGGCCAGTAGAATGAATGAAAATACGCAGCTTCTAGGGATGAGAGGTGGGAGGACCCTCTAGAAAGTACGAGAGACCCAGGAGGTGAGAGACTCTCAGGATTCAATGAGGGTGACCTTAGCCAAAATGCTCAATATTGGGGAGAGGAAATTCTAAGAGTCCACCTCCAGTAGATAGACAGGGTCTCAAGTGGAGGGACTGGGTTACTAATCTACAGTCAGGATTTCTGACCCAGAATTGTTTATGTCTAAAAGAACTGCAGGGATGAAAATAGAAAAGAGAATGAAGAAAGACAGTCCAATGACTGGCCCAAATTCAGATCCATCTCATGGGGGAAGGGAGCGCATCAAGGCTTGACACTATTACTCATGCTATGATGGGCTTACAGATTGGAGCCTGACATGGATGTCCTCAGAGAGGCCTGACCAGCAGCTGACTGCTACAGAAGCAAATACTTATACCCAATCATTGGACTGAAGTCAGGGACCCCTATGGTTGAATTTGGGGAAGGATTGAAGAAGCTGAAAGGGAGGGTGATCCCATATGAAGGCCAGCAGTCTCAACTAACCTGGGCCCCAGGAAGCTCCCAGATAATGAGCCACCAAGCAGGCAGCATACTTGGGCTGGTCCAAGGGTGACACCCTCCAGCAGACATATACATATACTGCCTGGTCTGGCCTCAGTGGGTGAAGATTACCTAATCTTCAAGAGACCTGAGGCCCCATGGAAGGGAGAGTCCTGATATGGGGGGACACCATCTTCCTGACAAGGGGGAGGAGGAATAGAATGAGGAACTGTGGGAGGGGGAACCAGGAGGAGGTAATGTTTGGAATATAAATAAATAAAGTAATAAAATATTTCATCTTCACAGTAACCTCAAGCTTACATTATAACTGTTTCATATACTCATGTGTGCACATATCTCCACACATTTATTGAACTGAAATAAACACTTAGAAAAAGTTCACAATGTTTTTTATGCTTTCCTGGTCTACTACTTGTAAAAATTTTATTTTATGTTTAACACATTTCAGATATGAATATGGACAATGCATTCTGCACCACAAATTACAAAACCCTGACTGACCACTGTGCTGCCCAATCAAATCTTTCTTATTTCACATGCTGAATTATTTAGTAACATATTTCAAACCTGAAAACAAAAGATGCCAAGTACCAATGAAATTTTATTTTATTTATTTACTTCAATAGAATTTCATTTTATTTTATTAAATGTTTCCTTAGGTAAGACAACATTGCATTTGTTTTGAGTGTAATAATCTGCAAAGAATTCCCTAGTAGTAGGGTGTGGTAGTGTATGCCTGTAATCCCAGCCGTTGGGAGGTAGAGGCAGGTGGATCTCTGTGAATTAAGGGCCAGCCTGGTCTATATATGGAGCATCAGGACAGTCAGAACTATTTAAAGAGATCCTATTTAAAAAGCAAACAGCAACAAAACAAAACAAAAAATAATTTCTGAGTAAATGACTAGTAAACTGAGATTAACCCCAGAAGATTGGTTAGAAACTACTACATTGTTACCAATAGTAATGGTAACAAAAGATCTGTAATTGGAATGCACTCAATAATCACCCCTACATCAGACATCATAGCTATTGGTAACTTACAGCTGATAGGAGAGGAGCATCCATTTTCCTTAAGAATATGATCACTGGTAGTCCCACAAATGGGACTATTTAAAAGCCTCAT